TTTAGTTCATACTTTTACGTCGAACTCCCCACCATGTCATCCTTCACATCGACCTCAGTTCGTACGGATCCATATTCTTCGATCGATCGTCAGAAGGTCGCGACCATGGGCTAGGGCAGTGGCGGTGGCTTCTCCTCATGTTGACTCGACTCTGAGGTTGCGGTGAGGGGAGATACCAGCAGGAAAAACAGCGGCGGAGTCTTCGGCTGTTAGCTGAAGGGGAGCCAAAAGAATGACGACGACGTTATCTCGTCGCTCTCTGTTCTCTCCTTTGGTGGCAATGTTGCGTTTGTGGAGTCACTCGGTTTATTCGCATGCCGGTGGTTCACTGAAACGCTGCGCAGCCAACGACAGGCTCGACCTCAGGAGACCGGACGAAGCTCTTCTTGCTCTTCTTGTTACGGTGTTGGCTACTCTGGTTGTCGGCTGCTATTGGGATTGACTGAAGGACATTGCCGAAGGAGGGAATAGACAAAGGTGGAATATCAAGCCAAGCCGAATTTCGATCAACAAGATGACTGACGGCAGCTGCAACTACGACTATCATTACAACAACAAGATGAGAAACAACGACAACATACCGCATGGATAGTTTTTGCGAAAGAATCCCATGGAAGTAACAGCAGGATCCGCTGAGTCGGTCGTCCTCGACGATTTGATAGGACCGTGAGATGCTTTTCTGATCCTCTCGTGGAGGTTCCTCCTCATTGTCCAAGGAAAGAAAGCTCCATCACGCTTCTTTTTGTTTTATCTCAATAAAAATCACCCGAGAAACCCCATAGCTGAATTATTGTTTCTGGTAATTCTGCTTGAGCTGTCGAAGCCTTCTACACAATCCAAATTCATTGTAGGACACTCCGGAGAGATGGAGCGACGCTGCTCGCAACAAGTCGACCACAGCACGAAGGAATGAGTGGTAGTAAACAACAAGTGACGGTCAACAGAAGCACGGATAATTCTTTCAACAAGTTGGTACTGGTACAGTCCACCGAAGCACGGAACGACCGTACGGCACGTGATGAGGAGTCGATCTCGAGTTGCTGCCTTTCACTGCCTAGCCAGACTTTGCACTAGCTCATGTACCTACACTTCACAAAAACCAATAGCATCAACAAGCAATTTCGAAATTTAGTATCTAGTAGTTTAGTGTAGAGAGTAGTGTCAACTTGTCAGCTGTGTGATTTGCTAATAAATACAGCTGTGCACTTCGCGAGCCCTTCTGCGAGGAACAGCATTGAATACTTCCAGAAGATAGATCTGTTCTCAACAAGCCACAACGTTCCCAGGTGTGGTTCGAAAATGGAGTCCTAGCCTTCCTTTTCGACCACAGCAGTATTCATCACTTCTGGATCGTCAACGGGAGATTCACACTTGACACGAACCGCTCGGATGAAAGAGGTGTCACGGTTGGTGCCGGGAGAGGCGGTATTCAACACTTCTGGATCGTCCCCGGGAGAGCTGGCAGGCACAGATTCACACTTGACACGAACCGCTCCGATGAAAGTGGTGCCACGGTTGGTGCTGGGAGAAGGTCCAGAAGCTTCTCCCAAAGTCACAGAAGATTCACGACGTTGCTTCTTGGGATGTTGAGGATTGTTGTCTTTGCCATCTTCCTGAGACTTGCTATGATCTTTGTTGTTGTGCATAAAGAAGAAGGTAAGAAACAAATCATGCACAGTATAAAGGAAACTAACAATCCTTACCCTTCGTTGCATCTCGTTTCATTTTCTGACCGACTCCTTCTTTCGGAACTGTAGCCACAGATTGTTGCACAGTGCATGTGCCTACCCCAGGTGCTGCTGCCGTGGACATTTCTTGTGTTGTTGTTGCCTGTGCCTCCATTTCTGTGGATTCATCTTGACGGGTGTCGGCTTCCTTGGCTGCCCGCATCTTGTTGATCTTAGTCATCTTCATGAGATGTTGAGCAAGGCATTCATTTTCTTTCTTCGAATTGGAGAGCTCTGCCTTGAGTCGATCTTTAGCTTCTTGGCTATCCCGTAGCTGTTCTTGGCTATCCCGTAGTGCTTTCTCACCCGTATTCAGTGCTCTCTCACAAGTATCCAGTGATCTCTCACCCGTATCCAGTGCTCTCACAACAGCATCAACCTGGGCCATCAAACTCTTTTCTCGGTCCTTGCTCCTTGTGAGCTCTTCCTGGAGAGAGCGATACTCTTTGAGTTGCTGTCGAGCAAGAGCAAGCTGTGAACGCGCCTCGTTCCGTTCGTGCTCTGTAGATTGTAGCTTGCTTTTGAGGTCGTCCTGGCTTGCACTGGCGGTCTGGAGCTCTTGCTGGGCCTTCCCAAGCCGCGAGAGTGCCTCATTCCGTTCGTTTTTCATAGCTTGTAGCTTGGCTTTGAGATCATCCTCGGGAGCACCGGCCTCGGGCTGCGAAAGTGCCTCGTTGCGTGCAGTCTCAGCAGCATCAGGCATGGCCTCATCGCTTGGATCTGCCGGTGTATCCTCAGTCAGATCGACCACTTGCGGTGGGCCTGTCGGGATCGCAAGCTGAGCATTCTGTTGCGCCACCATAACAGGGTTGGTCGTATCATTCAGGAAGGCTAACATACCAGCTGCACTCTCTAGGAAAATCCGGATGGACTCTGCCTGATCCTCGTTATTGTTTCCATTTCCCAAGAAGCTTTGAGGCGTGCTGCCCAGACAATGAGTGGCTTTCTTCACGAAATTGATGAACCTCTTTCGTGTTGTTGCATCAACAGCCGCCATAATCTCCTCAGCCTTGCGTTCAACTTCTTCCACAGAGTTCAACGAGGCACACATGAATCGGCACAAGAATGTGTGCAGAGGTTTGCCTGGAAATGAGAGACAAAACAAAGCCAGTTGCGTGTCGCCTCTCTGGTCTCTCCAGGCATCAACTCGCTGCTCAGCCAACACGGTCTGCCGAAGAGGAATCTCCGGAATCCAAAGTTTACGCCCATTTGTCTCCCCTTCCCAATGCAAAATATCAATTGTCAGCGCTCCTTTGTGAGCGATAGGATTCGTGTCCTGCTTTTTGACTTTGGCTGGGACCATCGGCTTGGGATTGAGATCATTGCATATGTTGCTGATGTTTTGGAGTAGGCTGATGAGTTTTGGTTTCAATTCATTGACTTTGGCTGTGTCGCCATGACAGAGTGCCTCAAAGTACTCCATGGCATCAGCAATGCACTCGCCGACCAGGGCATTTCTGCTCGGCTCCTTGGATTTGAATCCGACTGGTTCGAATTTTTCAGGTCCGACCTCCTTTCGCTCCCAATGCAGTTCGTTGTTCTCAGTCTCCTCGAACTGAGTACAGAGAGAGACCAATGCATTGATGCTCCGAATCCCGGTGACTCCAATGACCTTGATATTTGGAGTAATCAAGTGAGGCAGCTTCATGAGGAAAGCGTACATAAAGAAAGTTGTGACATAGTGATCTGCGCATTGATTATGTGCACGATCTTCTATGACACCGCTATGAACCGTGCGAGCAAGAAACTTCATTGTTCCAACCGCCAGAGCACTCTTTGAATTAGCCCACTCAACACCCAGAGCATCGGAAGGTCCCGTGAAGGTGAGAGCCTGCTCACACATGCAAAATGGAAGGAGGCGCATCTTCTTGTCAAAGGAATCCTTGATGACTCCATCACTGTTGGCGTTGGCTTCAGCTGGTGGAAGAGCCGCAACATGTGGACCATTGGATCGCGTAGACCCTCCGAGTGTTGCCATGGTGAGAATCTGAGACTTTACTGATGACTCGACTGCACTCCTTGATTTTGGATGCTCTCTCAATGCCACGCCTCAGCAACAACCAGCAAGGAGGTGAGGGCTCAGCAGTTTCCAATCGAAAGAGCCAAGGGCAGCTGTACGTCCAAAGCTATGGATCCTGCTTCCAGTACGGTACCGTTCTACGGGTACGGTACCTGTTACCAGTATCGGTACTGTACCATGATTTTGGGGAAGACCTGAAAGATTGAAGGAAGAGGAGGGAAGGCGAAGGAACAAAAAATCCAATGTCCAATCCTGAGCGGGACTCACCAGAAGGAATCTTTCGCGCCAAAAACGAGCGGAGGGCAGACCGTACGTCGGAAGCTACGTGCTGTTCGGTACCGATGAATGCCATTGCCGTACTAGTAGACGCGCTGCTCGACATCGGAGGCTGATCGAGGTTCCTCTCATTTTCCAAGGAAAGCAAACTCAACACGCTTCTCTTTTAGTCTTTTTGATTTTTTGATTTACTCAACAACCATCACCATGAAGATCTCCGTTTCTCTTATTGTCATGATGATGATTGGCCTCGTCGCCATGCCTTGCGCTGCCATGGGAAAACCAGTTGCGATCGGTGGCGAATCAAACCACACCGACGCCTTTGGAAAAGGAGGCGTGTCATTTGGTGGCATCTCCGGCGCCGTTGGCGTTGTTGTTGATCGCAGTGATCCGATCATCAAACACCTTGTTGGAGAGGTGACCGTGAACGGGTAAGACCACCACCTTCCTCTTTCGTTGTCGTGATTGACAGATCCACTGCTACAGCTCGGCTCGGAGAAGATGGCTGGTTCCGTGTCATTGCTGTCATTGTCATTGTCGCTGATTCTCTTTTTCTATTTGTGTCGTGTTTTAGGCGCCCTGTCGATGAAGAGTTTCTTCATGACATCGCCATGATGCGAGGCATTCTAGATGTCTGTCAGACTACTGCCGATTCGTTGGACCCTGTCTACGAGTGCGTGCTCCGTGTATCCGGAAACCTGATGGAAGGCAAGGACGCAATGGAGCGACTCGTGATTGCCTCAAAGATGCTCGTAGCAGAGTATGAAGTAGCCATGCAAAACGACGAAGCCAAGACTAAATCTACAGTGCTCCAGACTCTGCTACAGTACAAGAAGTCGAAAGTATCGGATGCCCTGTACGAGACCACGTCCAGCAAGCTTTGCGCTCTCAAGTGCAATGTGAAATTTTCCGAGCATTTCAAAAAGCTACTTGATTCTCGTCTAGCTCTCTACCTTGGGACAATCCCTCTCCTTCCGTGTGATTGGCAGCTCGTGGACCAGTTCAAGGCGACCACCAATCGCTTGGGCGACAACCACGAGGCCACCATGGAGCGAGTCTATGGACTAATTGACTCGGCAGAGAAGCAGGTACAAGAAGGCTACGAAGCGGCTATAGAAGCTTTGGAACGCCGTGTCCAGGAGGGAAAAGCGTATGGAGAACAGCTGAAGCAAAAGATCAAGATTCTCGAGCAGCTGGAGGGATGCCTGAAAGGAGAGAGTTCTTGTTATGTCGATGCCGCGGACGTTTTGGAAGTGTTCGACGATGAGCCAGGTAAAGCCGAGTCCTATCTCCAAGCCTTCGAGGAGGCTCGTACTGAATCGTCGGAGCAATCCATGGATTAGGAGTGTCTCTACAGAGCACGATGCCCGGCCTGTCCTGAGCCCTTTTGGATGTCATATCAAGGAAGCTACTCCTCTCCTGGGCGCTGCCAGTTTGCAGACTGGATTGAATTACTTATAGTTGGCTGCTTGCCAATGTGGATGCAGCACTCTAATAATGTAGTCCTCTGAACGTGTATTTGCTTGTATGTTACACAACCATACGGTAGGCTACTAGTCTAGCTAGACAGTCACCAAGCCAGCCAAGTCAAATCCTCCCCTTGTGCAAGTGGGAGCATCGTTGGTTTCCCAAGCACCCTCGTCGGCCTCCAGGCGCTTTCAACTAATGTAGTCCTCTGAGCATCGTATTGCTTGTGCGTTGTACCGTTGTCACCAAACCAAACCAAAACCAGCCCCTTGGCGAAACGCGTTGCCGGTGGGGGGTCCGGCTAGCTACCGGTACATGTCGGACGAGCGCTCCCTTGATTGCTCCCATCTTCTACCGTTACCTATCTGGCAAGGGGTTTCTGTTGACTGGGAGTTTCTTTACGAGTGAAGAGTGAAGCAGTTAGAGTAGGAGTACTCAGTACGGTACGAGTACCGGTATGGGTTAGAGGTTAGAGGGGACTATGCATTACTCGAGTACGAGGACATGGCGGTGAGGAGGGGTGCAGAGTGCAGAGTGCAGAGGAGTGGCTTTTTAGTGTCACAACCGATTGACCGCTCAAATTAGAAGGCTTTAACTGGCTAGAACTCCACTGAGACGGCTTCTGGCGACTGGCGACTGGCGACTGGCGACTGAGACGGATTCACTACTCTACAGCTGCTCTACTCGAGTAGACTACTACTAGACAGAGAAGCCGTTTGCCGCTTTGCCCCAACATAATAATGTGAGGTGACTGAGGAGCTCTTGAGGCACTAAAAAGAGCAAATCGATCTTAAGGATTCTGTACATCATCATATGTCTATGTGTTCACCAGAGTCCAGAAGGCTTCTGTTCTGGGGATGGCCAAACCCAGAACCCAGATCTACTGCCATATTATATGCATACTAGTACACATACCGGTAGCTAGTGGCTCATGGGTGTGCCAAGTGCCAAGGGCCACGGCAGATGCCAAGACTTTGCTTGATTTCGTCCGCTGGCATCCTGGCATGAAGACAGTTTGGATGAGCTTTTGGATGATTGTTAGCCTTTGGGATGACACTACATGTAGTATTAGTAGCCAAATCCGTTGACTCGTACCATAAGGAATGATGAGCCCAGGCACCGAACCGTGGCCCAAGAAGGCAGCGGTAGTAGGTTCGAGGAGCCTTTTCGATTCCGTTTGCAAGGAGCATTTACCAGTTTGCTTTCTGAGCAAGCAAGTCCTGGAGCATAACAAAGATACGATCATCTCCCGGGTTGGTGGACTGGCTGCTTTATAGATCTTTCACTGATGCCTTAGGTAGGACGTTCAATACAATAGAAACAAGTTTTTAATTGTGTTATGCGTGTCTTTTTATTTGTTGTGAAGAGAGGGATTTGCCTACTAGAAGTCATCAAAATCCCATCCACCATCATCGTCGTCATTGGCTTCTAGTCTTGTGACACCTCCTTGGCTAGCATCCACTCCAGTTGCTTCTTCGTTATTGGGTGCTGCTACTGGATGACTGGAAATATTGTCATCCTCAAATCCCCAACCACCACCTCCTTCAGAGCCATCAAGGTCTCCAAGGGCGTCATCATCACCCCAACCAGATTCTGGGTTCGCTTGTGAAGTTGCCATGCTTGAAGCTGGCACTGGCACTTTCGGTGCAACAAGAGGGGCTAGTGGTGTTTCGTCTCCTAGGTCCCCAAGACCGTCATCCTCAGCTCCCCAGCCCCAATCTCCCTGACTTTCACTCCCTGCCGTCGTGGTCTGCACAGGTACAGTGACAGGGTTAGCCATTGTGGTTTGTACTGGGTCATCATCCAGATCTGCAAGGCCGTCATCTTCAGGTCCCCAGCCCGAATCTTTGGCACTATCGACGTTCAAAATGGTGGGAGCTGGCCGTGGAGGAACATGGACCAGAGGCGTTCGATTTGATTCTTCATCCAAGTCTCCAAGCCCATCGTCTTCGGCTCCCCAACCCCAGTCTCCACCCTGGTTATCCCTGGCATCTAGCTGTTGTGCTGATTCAGTGTTGGTAATAGCCGGTGCTGGTGCCAGAGGAGGTGGAACTGCCCGCGTGGGTGCCGGAGGATTTGGAGGCGGTGGGGGTAGAGCTGATGCAGTCTGTGCTGTCTCTTCATCTAAGTCTCCCAGGCCATCGTCGTCATCAGCGCCCCAGCCCCAGTCCCCACCCTCATTTGCAGTGGCTTCCACGTGAACTTCGACATTAAATGACATGGGAACTGGGGCAGGAGGCTCGAGCGGTGCTTTCGCTTGAGCAGGAGGTGGCAATGGAGCAACTGGAGGAGATGGGTCAACATTGTCCAAGTCACCAAGACCGTCATCTTCAGCTCCCCAGCCCCAATCTCCTTGTTTTTCGCTGGGCTTTGGTTCTGACACTTGACCCTTTGGTTTAGAGGAGATCAGTGAGGGAGCTCGATTTGATGCTGAACCAGAGCCATCCAGGCCATCCGCATCAAAGTCCCAGCCACTCTCTTTTTCCTCGTCAACTTGCCTCTGTGACGTTTCAGCAGGCGCAATAAGAGAAGTAGAAAGAGGAGGACTTGAGCTTGGAACTTTGGCCTGCGATGCTAGTGCCATAGGAGCCTGAGTAGCGCCCGGACGAGGACAAGATGGGAGAGCACTTGCCTGAGGCCGAGGCGGCGGTTGGGGTGCAGGAACCGGGGCTGGTGGAGGAGGTGGGGGTGCAACAGAAGCGGCTGGATTCGAAGCCTGCGCTGGACTGAACCCAAAGGCATCCGTCCACCTGCTAGAAGTAGACGGAGCTGCAGCTTTCTTGATCGGGGGTGCACGGGGAGGTGGAGGAGCAGATGGGGGTACCGTGAATCCTTTCGACGATTTGCTCATAAGTTGCGCCGCTTTCGGTGGCAGTGGCGGCGGTGCCACTGTGGCGGGTGTGACCTTGGGCGGCGGCGGTGGAGGAGGAGCTGGTGTCTTTGAGAATCCAAAGAACGAAGAGGTTGCCGAAGACGATGTGCTGGCTGTGGCCGATGAAACCTTTGGTGGGGTTGGAGACCCGATGATTGGACTGGTACCAGCGCTGGTAACACTGGTTGGCTGACCAGTTGACGCTCCTTTTGTCATTGACGAGGCAGAGCTTGGTGAGGTAGTGTTTTTTGCGCGAGACTTGGCTAGAAGACGACGCCCTGCTTCAATGAGTCGTCTTCGTTCTTCTAGGTCAACTTGTTTGTTCCTGGGAGTGGACTTTAGCGCCCCCAGAGCTGCCTCCCCACGCAGTTTTAGAGCTGATCGATTTGATGCTGCACTGCTTCCTGTGCTGAGGCCAAGGTGAAGACTCGTAGGACGATTTGTTGGAGTGATGAAGCCGTTGGCAGAGGTTGGAGCTGTCGATGTTGCCATGGCCGAGGCGGCGGGGTCTGTGTCGATGCTAAGATTGTTGCTACCGACAGGCGCAGGAATTGATGGTTTTGGTTTCTGTGCTGCCAATCTAAGTCGTTCTGCCTCTGCTTTTTGTCTTGCTTCCTCTGCTTTAGCCTTGGCTTCTGCCAATCGCAGGCGCTCTGCCTCAGCCTTCTTCCTGGCATTTCCTTCGGCTTCTTTCTTCGCTGCCTCTTCTTGCCGTTTTTTCTCTTCAGCTGCCTTTTTGGCTGTTGCGGTTGCCTCCCTTCTGGCCCTCTCCTCTGCTTCCCTCTTCGCTGCTGCTTCTTGTCGTTTCTTCTCTTCGGCTGCCTTTTTTGCTGCTGCGGCAGCCTCCCTTCTGGCCCTCTCCTCTGCTTCTCTCTTCGCTGCTGCTTCTTGTCGTTTCTTCTCTTCGGCTGCCCTTTTTGCTGCTACTGCTGCCTCCTTTCTGGCTCTATCTTCTGCTTCTTTCTTGGCAGCTTCTTGTCGTTTCTTCTCTTCGGCCTCCCTTTTCGCCGCTGCCTCCTTTCGGGCTCTCTCCTCTGCTTCTTTCTTGGCGGCTTCTTGGTGCTGTTTTATCTCTTCAGCCTCCCTTTTCGCTGCTGCCTCCTTTAGGGCTCTCTCCTCTGCTTCTTTCTTGGCGGCTTCTTCTTGCCGTTTCTTCTCTTCAGCCTCTTTCTTGGCAGCTTTTTCTTGCCGTGTCTTCACTTCAGAAGCTTTCCTTGCAGCGGCCTCCTGTCTGGCTCTGTCCTCTGCTTCTTTCTTGGCAGCTTCTTCTTGCCGTGCCTTCGCTTCAGCAGCTTGCTTTGCAGCGGCCTCCTGTCTGGCTCTGTCCTCTGCCTCTTTCTTGGCTACCTCTTCTTGCTTTTTCGCCTCTTCAGCTGCCATTCGTCTTGCTTCCTCCTCCTTCCGTCGCTTTTCAGCGGCTTCTTGTCTTTCCTTCTCTTCAGCTACCGTTCGCCTTGCCTCTTGCTCCTCTCGTAGTTTTTCAGCCTCCCTAGCTTTCTTGTCCGCTTCATGCTTGTCATGATCATTTGCATTGTTGCCTGTGGATACCTTTCGTTGGTCTGGTTTTCCATTCGTAATCCTTGATTCCTTAGCGACTTCCTTGGATGCATTTGGAAGGTCAACAGTGTTTCGGATATCTTCCGGCGCAAAAGCAACTTTCGTCGACAACATATTGTCAGCCATCCATTCGGAGAGATCATTTGAACCCGAGAGGAATTTCTGAACAAAGGCGAAGGTGTCTACAACTTGCTGGATAAGAGACTTTTCAACAAAAACACCCTGAGTCGAAGCCAGAATGAGAACAGGATCATTCATTCCTGGATTCTTGGCGTTGGCAATACCCCAATTTAGGGCTTGTTGGAATCCTGCGTTGTTCGTTGCTAACGCAGAACGACATGCTGCCATGGGGGGGAACCCTTTGCTTACAAGCTGCCGTACAATTGCAATATTTGGAAGCATAAACGGTTCTTGGAATGCTTTAGGGTGCTGGTTGATGATAGCAATCGTCTGCTTTTCGACTATCTCACGAAGTTCCTTGATCGCAGGACCCGAAACGGCCTTCCAATCATAAGTTTGGAGCAACAAAGCCGCACCAAAAATGAGGAGCTGATTTGCCGTGGCCTTTTCGATCGTTCCTGCCTGCGTAGTTCTTGGCCGAGTGCTTCTGAAAATGCAACAGAAGAACACGTATCTACAAATGGCATTCAACAGCGTGTCATCAATGGAGCAACCTTGCGCTTGAACACGCAGTGTCCACAACAGATCATAGATATTGATAGAGTACTGGGACCAGCTATCATGGTAGAGATTGCCGATAGAGTCCGACGGTGGTTGCAGATTCAAAATTGGAGGACTGCTTTCGTTTTGCTTTGACTGGTTGATTCGCGGTTCGAGGGCAGTGTAAACTCGAAGGATGTCATCAAGCGGCTGACAGTTGTAAATTGTCGTTGATGCTTGGAACTTCTTCATTGCCTCTGAGCAAAGCTCTTCCTTGGTAGCCAGGTCTCCATACTCTTGTCTGGACACCACTTCTGCGACAGCGCTGATTCGGGCCACTGCATCGACTTCACTGGAAAAAGCATTCTTGTCATGAAGCATAGTTCTGCACACAGCCGCGGAAGCTCCGAACAACCCTGCTGCAACACCATGATGTACGACTCTCGACTTCACGACGAGGACTGATGCGGTGTTCTCTAAACCGAGGATACTGGCAAGATGGAAGATTGCCCCACCTGGAATTGGCGGTAACTCCGTTGAGACTTCTTCTGACTGGTGTAGTGCTTGATTTTGCTGGGAGTTTCGTAGCGCCTTGTTGGCGTGGACAGCCAAGGACTCGTCGCCCCACGCATGACACTTGATGATGATTGCTTTTGGGAGTGCTTTCAAAATGGATTCTACCACGTCGACGGGAGGATCGTCTCGAAGATCGTTTGGTCCCACTGTTCGCCGTACCTTCAGCTCGGCAAAGATCTCTGTACTGATAAAGTTTGCTGCGTCAAGGTATCGCCTGGACAGTTGGAAGCCTTCTTGCAAGTCGGGAAACAAAGGACCCAAGGCGTCTTGACAGGCAATCGCCGCTTGAAGAGCACTGTCACTATGTAAATGTGATCCAGCACGATCGCTGTCAGAATCTGCAAAGACGATTGAGTCCACATACGCTCCAACTATCCTTGCTTCTCGCTCCTGGTCCCACCATGATTTGTCCACTGAGGATAGAATCTGAGCCACAAGGTTGAAATCGCCCTTTCGAGACAACGGAGCAATGAGGTCGCTTGATATGGTGTGGACGATCGTTGGAAGGAACGATTCAGCTCCTTCGTAACAAATGGCGTGGAACTGTTCCAGATCAGAGATCACAAGTTGGAGAAGGTCTGGCAGACCGTTGGATCCCTTGGAAGCTTTGACTTGCGAACAATAAGAGCGGCACAAACTCATCATAGCTTTTCCACCGATGTGCAACATGTTCTCAATCTCAGAATTCCCTTTGATTTCGTACTCCTTTGAGAGTTGAATTCTATCGGCAAGGAATGCAAATGCCTCTTCATGGCAACCTGGCCACTGCGATAGAATTGCAACCCCGACTAGATGTTGGTACAGTTGATCCGATTTCTTCGAGAGGGCGGAGGAAGCCTTCCTTTCCTCTGTGGAGCCCACAGGCAATGATTCATAAAGTTTCCACATCAAATCTACAACTTCTGCACAAGCTTTCGTTGGTATCGATGCTGTCTGACACCTTGCTGCAGCTTCTTCGATTGTCTGATGAACCAATTCAATGGCAATTGACTTGTCTTGGATGATGCGCCCGGACTTCGTGATTGACGGTCGGCTGCCGAATGCAACAGCTGCACATATTCGTAGCGCCTCTACAAAAGTCTCCCTTACTTGATTGATATCTGATGATTTGTGTTCCTCATTTGGCAAGTCAGAGCTAGAGCTGGATGCGGACTCACCACCAGTACTCGTTTTGACCACCTTGATGCAATAATCAGAAATGGCACGATCCAAGTTTTTGTTGGTCCCACCAGGCAGATATTTCATTAGAGGAGCAAGATGCTGCTTGTGAATTTGGTAGATGGTTGCTGTGTCATCTTGTCCCCCTAGAACCATCCCGACCACGTCGACAAGGTCCATCGACCAGAGATCCAGTGGCGTCACCGTCGCAAAGGGGGAGAGATCAATAACTCCATTTTCTTCGCCCATTGGTGGAGGTGCCTCTCCCAGGGATTCCTCTAGCATCCGTTCCAGTGCTAGGGCACTTCCCCAGGTGCACACAAGCGACTCACTAGAAACCCCATTCTCCACCCAACCATCATTGTTCTGCGATGCTCCAATCGACAGCAGGGCTGCTGCACAGAAACTGGCAACATGTTCTAGGTTACCCACAAAGAGCTGCATGTCCATCACCCTAGATTCGAAGAAGGCCAGCAAACTTGGAACTTCGAAGCCACATTCATTGTTGTTGCTCGCAGCCGCGCTGTTGCACTCCAACACCATCTTCTCGTCGTTGCCGCTTAGAACTATTTTGAAATCCATGGCTTCCTTGAGATACGACGGCAGCTGAGAAACATGCAACATAGTCTCGCTTTCTGCTGGTGCAATCTCTTTAATGAACAAATCTGTTCGATCAGGATCTTCCCGTTGTTGTGTCTTTTCGAGGACAGGAAGAAGATAGCAGTAGTCTCCTGGGCTGGTGGTCAAAGGAAGCAATCCGAGGATTTCAAGAAAGTTGGGCTTCAATTCGTGTCTGTGTCGAAAGAAGAGAATCGACAACGCGGCAAGATCTGCCACGGAAGCAAACGACTTGGCAAGATCCACCATGGACACTGGTACAAAGTAGTCTCGAAATTTGGCAAATGAGGCTTCGGCGTTGATGGCTTGGCACAGGAGTTGATAGGTACCCAAACGAACAAGAATGCCCTGCAACTTTTCCTTGGCATCATCACCCCCTTGACCAAGAGCCAACGCTGACGCCAAGCGAATCTTGCCCGTTCGTCCCAACGCCAGGGTACAAATCTCTCGACAGATTTCCAAATCGACTTCCCAACGAAGATCATTGTTTTCGCTGTTGTTTCTAACGCCTCCGTTTTCAAACTTGTGCTCTTCTCCATCCTCTGGTCTTGCCGAAGCAGAATCAAACAGCGAAAAGGCTTGCTGTATAATGTACGAGTCGCTTGTCACTTGTTTCAACCACTTCATATCCCAGGTTTGCTCCCACAGTTTTTGCCGGCATTCCTCCAACACGGTGGTTACGAGCTTCCGTTCTTCATCACTGACTTGCTGGGAGGCCTCAATGGCTTGTTCATACTTGGCATCGCGTGTCAATTGCATAATGATATCATGAGGCCGCAAAGGTTGCAGGAAGCACATGCACAGTTTGGAGTGCCGTTGCTTAGACACCGGAAAGAGTATTCGCAATGGAGTCGCCATGCCATCTTCTTGTGCTAGAATGGGTGTTCCTTGCAGAGCGGCCTTGGCGAATGGAAATGGCACCGATTGGATGGAAGGTCGGGGATTGTTGACGTCTAGCTGCAAGAATCCAGATAATATCTTGACCTGACACTTCTGCTTGTTGTTGTTGTTGTTGTTGTCGTTGGATGTTAATAAGAACAACCACGGATTCAAAGGATCATCGGCCCGAGCCAGCCATTGAGCGTTGACACAATGGGGTACTGCTATGGCACCGGCATTTCCTCTACAGAGAGATTGCATCATTTTGGATCGATCCATCACCGTTTTGACCAATGCAATTTGAAGAGGAGGCGCTTCGTCTCCCACCGCCGCGGCCATGTCGGCATCGTGAATGGCCCGATATTCTTCTTCCGAGAGAGAATGGGAAACCATTCGTTCCAGGAGGGAACAATCCATAATAGTGACACTCCCATTCCAATCCAACAATGACAACATGACAGCAGCGGGAGTTCCATCGTCATGGTTTGTCACGACGATGGCTTGCATGGCCACAATCGGCGCCGATGTGGTAATGGTAGTGACACGATCATAGACCGATTTCGGCACATCATCCTCCACGAGAACGTCTGGCATGGTTGTCGTTGTTTCGTCAGCATCCTCACCCGTTTCACTTCCATCCATTGGTGCTGGCGGCGGCGGTCGTTCTTTGAGTGCCACCTTTCGGGGATGTCTCCATTGATTGAGAATGGCCCGATTGCAAAAGACGCTCAAATCGGCTCCCATGGCTTCGACATCCAGTGCTTCTTGCAACAAAGCTCTCATGGTGAACCCGGCACTATCGGGATGCGGCGGTTCTTGGTCGTTTCCCGGAAAGACAAAGGAGATGGCCCAAAATGTGAGAACTTCGTGTCCCAACTGCGTACCCGAAGCAACGAGAATGAAGTGGGCGGGTGGTGGTGCCTTTCCGTAGAATTCCTGATCCCAGACAGCATCGAGAGGGACTCGAGTTCGAATGGCCTCCACAGAAATGACGTCGGCATGATATTCGAAAGTAGTCAGAGCAATAATGGGAATGGGGACGTTTTCGGATGCGACATTGACCATGATTCCCTTGGCATAATGAGGGGATGGTTGTCGCTTGCGTGGATTGTGTCGTTCGGGTGGTAAAATAGCTCCATGCCACAAACTGGGCGGCAAAGGCAGTACTTCCATGTATCCTCCCAATCGCGACACTACGACTCCGGCGGCAGGAATTCCCGGCGTCCACAAACACAAGGGCACCATATCAGTGACTCGCAATAGATCCGTCGAACCTTCTTCTCCGTCTTCGTCGGCAAATAAATCAAAGGAATGTTCCAATACGGCTTGACTGGGTCCCAAAAAGACGACGGCTTCCCAAGCAATGGGTGACTGTTCGTCCACAAAGATGCGTCTATAAAAGACCACAACGCCATCTTGGAATCCCCAGGAAACCAACAGAAAATTGGGACCCAGCGACACGGCTCTTGTGAGCGACAAATCAAAACCACCTCGAGGACCGGCATAGCGTAATAAATCGTCGCGATCGGACGTAATGGAACAATGGGCATTCATCAAGAAATCAGGATCATTTTCAGTTTCAGTTGTTGGCTGTTCTGAATTATTGTATTCGGCAATGACTCCTAGTCCCACAATGCACATGGTACTGGTGTTTGGCAATTGTGGCGAGGTTCGTACCATCAAGGGTCGTTCCCCTTGTGTCCGCTGCGATGCCAGCAACAGACGGGCCATGCTGTGGGCATCGGGAGGAATACAAGAGCGATCCAAAGAATGATGATGGGTTCCACATAATAGAGCGTCTTCTTGCTGCTCCTCATTTTCCGTGTACTCTAACCATTCGTTTTCTTCGTCAGTTGGAGGACGCAAACTGTTGGGATTGGGAGTACTGGAGTTACTGCTGCTACTGCTGCTGCCAAATAAGAATCCAAACCAACCCTGGGATTGTTGCTGCTGCTGCTGCTGTTGCTGACTACTACTGCGACGAGCCACGGCATGGGCTGCTGAAGTGGCTTGTAGCAGTTGATCGCGTTCTTGATATTCTTCAATCAAACGAGGATTGGGAAATCGCTCCGCATAGGATTGATACAGAGACAGCAGAGAGTCTTGAGCGCTACGGTCTTCGTCCTTGCGATCATCATCGTCGGGAGGCAGCGGGAGAGGTTCCGAGGACGACACAAAGGCGTAATGCAACGGCTTTTGAGACATGGTCCAATCGAGCGACTACCAAACCAAGCAATATAGTCAACTAGCTAGACAGCTAGATGGTGCTCAAGCAAAGCCACAGTCCGATGACAATACAATGGTAGAGGGACAAAGCTCCTTCCGTGTCTGCAGCTTGCTAGCTTGCTTTGTGGTTTTGTTGGATCTTTCCGGTTGACAGCGGCTAATGCCGCTGTGACGTGGCAGTACCACATCGTTGCTATTGGGAAAGCCAGCACACTTTTTTAAACACACGGGCCATCCTTCTAGAATATTGACCCTCCCCCGCTATGATGGTCACAACTATATAAAAAAACTGTACTTTTTTGATCGCTTTTTTATACTGATTTTACCACACTATTTCTTATCTGTTGACCACGCGAATACCGTACAGTCACACAGTGACAAGCTTATTTCGAGCTCATTTTTTCGTTCCTTTTACAGTTGTCCTCTCGACAACACATTTACTTTCTTTGACATGGCTATTCCATGTAGAGATCCACCAGAGTGGCAATGAGAGCGGCGACACAGTTCTCCACAGGAGTAGGAGGGTTGGCTTCCTTGTTGGCGTTCACATCCACGAAGTGATAGAGCAGGGTTTGGTCCTGCGCAAGGGTGCTTTTGGTCATGGCTACCAAAAGCTTCAGAGCAGGGACTTTCATCGCCTGAAGCAATCGCTGCTTGCTTGCACGGTCACTAGACTTAAGCCTCAATGCTGGAATTCTGTAGTCGGGTGTGGTAATGCCCCCGTCAACAACGGTCACTAGACTTAAGCCTCAATGCTGGAATTCTGTAGTCGGGTGTGGTAATGCCCCCGTCAACAAGGGTGGAGTGCACACCTTTAGCACCAGGATTTCCAATGGATCTCGCGTGAAACATGCTCTCAGACGTCCAGAACTGTGGCAGTTCGCCCAACTTCAAGGAGGGACCAAGTGACTTTGAGCGCCCCTTCTTCTTCTTGTTGTTCTTGTTCTTTTTCTTCTCTTCTTCGACAACTTTCTTTTCCTCCTCTTTTGCAAGCAAGTGACGTTCATGAGCATCGGCCTCTTTCTTTTTCCATTCTTTCTTCTTACGGGCCAGATAGTTCTTGGGGACGACGTTTTCCTTGGAGCTGTTGTAGACAGGGGCTTTGCTGTACCGGACAAACTTGCTTTTCAACTTTTCAGCTTGCTCTTCGAGATTGCGACTTTCTTTTAGCTCTTTCAAGTACACGGCCCTGAAATAGGGCCCCATGCTCTCCAGTTTCTCTTTCTCTGCTTCCTCGAGATCGTCCATGAATCCGTCATCGGAACTGTCTTCACTCTCGCTGGAGGAAGAAGAGAGGGCAATGTCCATGTCAGAACGTTTCTTGGAGACACGCCTGTTACGAGGAACTCTAATGGGTGCATGCTTGGCAGTAGCTGGACCGGCAGTGGCAGAAGACGGGTTCTTCGTTGCAGGCTTGGCACCAGGGTAGGCCGCACTCGCAGCAGTCTGGACAGAACCTACCACCTTCGAGACTACAGCAGCACTCTTTACAGTACGGCCAGATTGCTGGAGTCTCGCAACATCTAAAAAAGAGCAGCTGTCGGGGGGAGGTGAAGGCGACTTCAATACAAAGTCCTTGTAGACCTGGGCTCGCTCTTTCTTGATGGCACGAACTTGCCAGTCTTCATACCCTCCGGTGACTGTTGTTTTGTTGTTCGCGTCAACGATGATTTTCTTTCCATGATGCTGTACTTTCTTTTCCTCTTTCGGTTCCTTCTTGATGTGAACTTCTTTGTTAACTGCGGGTACCTTCCTATCTTTTTCATCATCGCTGTCGGTGTCAACAGTAAGAATCACCGCGTCTGCAGGAATGGGCTTCTTCGGACGATTCCTTCCAATAGCAAAGGTCCCGTTCTGCACGTACTGTCCATCACCAGCTGGTACAGACGACCTTTTCAACGGGGGGCTCTTAGTGCCTTTGGAAAAGGGGACAGGCTGCTGCTTTTTTGTTGGCGTCAGCTTTCTCTTTGTGGCTACATCGTCCCCAAATTCTGCCTTCGCTGCATCCATTCCAGCTGGAGCTTTCTTATCGCTGGTTTCCTTGGAAAGCTTCTTTGTGGAAGTGTCGAAACGGCAGTATTTCATGGGTGACTTTGTACGTCATAGACATGGCTGTGAGACGGTCCAAAGAACAATGGCAAGTGCCACAATCAGCGGGGGGGGGGGGAGACTTACAGTCATAACGCCGGTGGGGGACTCGTACTCTCCCTTGATAAACATCGTGATGGGACTGTCCAACTGCAATTTGTCTTCCTTCTGGTCCGAATCTTTGCAAGATGCGAGGAACGCAGCCAAGGCTTCGTCAGCACTGCGAATGGCATCAGGAGAGAGTTCTACAAACAGGTCGTCGTCCATCCTGATGGTGGAGTACGGCAAGACAGCGACAACAACAACAACGACAACAGAATCAATACTCTTTTTTTCAGTTAAATTTGCATCTATTTTTTGGTTGGTCTTCTTCTTCAAAGTTTGTGTCAGGAAAACAAAAAGGGAGATGGCTCCATCAGAGAAAAGATGAGTGATGCGTCCCGGACTGGACACCACGGCGCCAAGTTTGCCGGTGCATTTTCTGTTTCATTGGAGGCAACTAGACCGTTCCGGTTACGGTACATAGGCAAATCTGGGGAGGCAGGATCTTAATCTATTTTAATGAATGGATTCATCAATGTGCATTGTCAGGGGCTGGCATCCTTTCGAACGTAGGTTGCACAGTACAAAGTGCAAGCCAGGGGGTGGTGTGACCGTCCGCGTGCATGGATGGGAGAAACCATGCTCGTGACAGTGCCGAAAAGATACCCAACTTGAAGAATGCTTTGCCGATCTGGGAATGTTCATGTTCTGCATCCGAGGTGGTGCCATGTCACGGTGGAATGTGCCGTAGAAAAAAAAAACAGCGATTTGACTGTCCAACATTTGTGTGACCGGTAGATTGTTTGTCCTGTACTATGCCGAGAGGTCACCAGGGTCGTCTTCGAAAGGCGAAAGCCTTCGCCAAGAAACTGCTAAGGGAACTCAGAAGTGATGCACTCCCGCCACCTAATATCACGGGAAACCAAGAACCAAACGAAAATGTGAGTGAAGTGCAAGTCCGCGAGATACCGGCAGTGGCAAGTGCCAATCAGGACAACGAAGAAAGCAATGACCACGAGAACCACGATGGAAGGCCAAAGAAACGTCGCAAGAAGCCCTTCGTGCGGTCTCAGAGGTTCAGCAGGAGGGGAAAAAAGGAAAGAGATGTCTGGAAAGAAAAGGTCAGTGGTGTTCCTACTCTCAAGGAACTTGGGTCAATCATCAATGACGAAGATGCAGCAATTCGTTACCTGGGATCCAAAGGGGCAATAAAGATCCCTACTGTGTGTGGGAGATGCAACTCGGCGGTCAAGCCAGACTGGAAACGACACCAGTCCAGGTGTCAGAAGGCTAATTGCATTTGGACGGCACCAAAGCAATGTGAAATATGCCCCGGTGACGACATGAGAACAGTGCCTGTGAGCACCACCGACACAGGGAAGCAATGCCAGAACCTAGACTGCAGGTGGATTTGGAGTCCAGGAAAGCCATGGACTTGTTCTTTTTTCCGTGGTAGCTTCCTCCACGACTGTCGACTGCCCAAGAACGAGATAGTGCTCCTGCTGTATCTGTGGCTAACGAACGCGACACACAAGATGGTCTGCAGCATGCTGGGATGGGACAGCGAAACAGCAACCAGGTGGCTCAAGTGGTGCAGGAAAATGTCGCAGGAAATTGTCATCACTCAGCCACACCACAACAACATGATCGGGGGACACGACATCATCGTGGAGATAGATGAATCAAAGTTTGCAAAGCGAAAATATCACAGAGGAAGGAGAGTAAAAGGAAGCTGGGTGCTTGGAATGGTCGAACGTACACAACAAAGACGAATGGTTCTTCTGGTGGTTCCAGACAGAACTCGAAGGACGCTGGAGCATGCCATCATGACGTTTGTGCACCCAGGATCGACAATTCACACTGACATGTGGAAAGGGGTACCTAAGTCTAGAGAGGCTTGGTTATGACCACAAGACTCTCTGTCACAAGTACGAGTTTGTATCAGCAGAAGGAACCCACACGCAGACGATTGAAGGGAACTGGACTCCACTTAAGCGAGCAATTCCTGTGCAGTGCAGGAGTGGAGTAGACTTGCAAGAATACCTCTTCCAGTTCATGTGGAGAAGAAAGAACGAAGGCAACGAATGGGAGGCCTTGTGGGATGGCCTGGCAAGGGTACAGCTGACGATGCAAGAGCTGGAACGAATGGATGAGGAAAGAGAACGTGTGTGCGAGGACGAGGATGACGATTATGCCCCCATTGATGATGCCCAACAAGACGAGAAGTTAGAAGCAGAAGCGGACAACGACAACGACTTCGATGATCTGGTGGGCTTGTTCGGCGACATGGATCTGACTCCAGTTTCAGAAGGGGGCCTCTTGGTGGAAACGACGGCTAACGACAACACTACAGCAGAGGACGATGAAGAACGGCTACATGAAGACTTGGCATATGAAGTTATCGGTGAGATGTTAGCGGGAGGAGAGATCGACAGGTCCATTTTCTTCCACGAAGGTCAACTGAGGGCAAATATTTAGATTGTGTGGTGATAGTAGTAATCGTTTACTTAGAGTGTATGTCTTTAATCACCATAGGGTAGTACATCAGAAAGCCACGATTTGTAGTTACTTAGAGAGCAGTGGAGGCAGCGGCGATAGCCACCAACCTAATTGGTTTTTGCGAAGGAAACATTCCCTGTAGAGGCCGGTATGTTTTCTACGCATTCCCGATTGGCGACATTTTGCGAGGTTGCCGTCACAAAAACCGGTGACAATCCATTAAATACCAAAAAGTGTCACATGCGGTCACCGTTTTAATCTAGATCGTGCCTGTGGCCATTTCAGCGATCAGCGATTGGGGCGATTTCGCTAATTCCCCAACAACAGTATCGTCCATTGGACAACAATCGAGGCCACTTTTTTTGCATGAATTAATCTGCAGCCTGCTACCCAGACAACGACAACAACCGGTGTGCCAATGACACAACGCTGCAACGGAGCAAGACGGCATCGCTGGGAAGGTTTGTCGCCAAGACATCATGTGGCATGTTTTTATTTCGATGGATTCGACCATGTAAATTCTGTGGGATCAGGTGGCATTTTCAGTCGTATTATCCCAGAAAGAGCAACTCGACTTACCAACATGAGCCCATCTTGGTTCCCACATGGGGCAAAATGTTTACGGGAAACATGAGACGATGAGCACAACTCAGCGGGAGGGTGACGAAGCTGCAAGGAGGGCACGCATTTTGAAAAAAGATGGAGGGCGTGGTAAGTCTCTAAGTCTTCAAAGCGCGACTGTTTTTTGAATTTTACTCACGGATGTTTCTTTTCCCATCATGACGTCACAGGCTGGCTAACCGGTGGTACCCGATCTTTCCTTCGTCGCCTTTCGGCCATTGTGACTGTCACGTTTATCTCTACCCTTACTGCAGAATGATTTCATCGGAACGAAATGAAGGTAGTCTAAAAATACCGCAGTCCTTTGGCAAGCTACTACAATGTATGGTACAGTACCTGGCACTGAAGAGAACAAGCAGCCGGAGGCTGATGCCCTCAACTGTCAAAAAGAGATTTGATTCCCTACCCTTAATGAACTTCTTCGGCCAAACCTGCACCGTGTTTATCTGGACACACCAGCGAGTCTGCATAGCCAGCCAGCACTGGTACCCACGTGTACAAACTACTGTGTCCAACAGAACACACAATATAAATCCTTATCCTTAACCAGGAAAGTGTCCTTTATGTCTTTGTCCAAACCTCCACCGTGTTTATCTGGACACACTAGCGAGTCTGCATAGCCAGCCAGTAACTATACCCACTACTGTGTCCAACAAAGCACACAATATCAATCCCTATCCTTAACGAGGAAAGTGTCCCCTATGTGACCAAAACAGCTGCAACAAACACACAAACACACACACACACACACACACACACACACACACACATACAGCGATAAAAGTGTGAAAGACCCTCAGTCCGTTGAGGGCAAAAAGGGGTTTAGAGTATGGAAGCCGACATCGGCTTGATCCACCACTACTCGGACAAAGAAGCCTTCCTTCTAGCTTGAGAGATAGATTCCCAGCCAATAACTATTCTGCACAAGTATTATTATATCCTTTCAAGGTTACGCTTTTTTTAAAGAAGTTGGATGATCAGACAGAGTACCTGTCTTTGCGAACTCATCTGGGACCTCCAGATCTCGGATCACCTTGTAGTTGCCTATTTTGTATCCGGCCAGCCACAATCTTCCGGCTTCCTGGAAGACACTCTCAGTGCCTTTCAGTGGTGTTGGGTGAATCTCATTTTCATTGACAACATACTTTGCTTCGAGCTGTTCCTTCCGTGCACCGTCCTCCCTATGTCTGGCAGCAGGAATACCCACAAAAATGTCAGTGCGGAACATGTCCTTATGTTTGCCTAGCCCTTCTGCCATCTCTACGATATGCTGCCAATTGATCCACTCGGGAAGTTGCTGTTCAGGTTTGGTACCACCATCCCAAGCCAGAGCAGTGCCATCACGCTTAATAAATGCACGAATCTTGCTTACACCCGGTCGCCACTGTGCTAGCCAAACCCGACCCCAGATCGTAAAGACCTTGAACTCCACGGCACCAGCGCTGTCCTCTTCCAGACCTGTGTACCTCTCTTCAACCATGATTCCAGGCTTGACATTCTCAAGTGCCCAGGACTCTTTCTGCTTCCCACAGCGAATACCCGAATGCAAGTCGTTGGCCAAGCTGTCTACAACTTCATTCATCACATTGGCAACATCATCTGTGCCACCAGTGTCTTGGAAAGTTTTGGTTCCATGACTAATATGCGTTTTGTTTGTGGCTGGGTCTGTCTTGGCCAACCAAACCCCTGCCGAACAGGACAGATGAGTTGGCTTGGCGGCAAAGTCTTGCAACAGGGTACGGTGTTGTGCGTTTAAGAAGAAGCGGCTCAGGTAGGCCTTTTCTTTCCTCAAGCTTCCTTTCTTGCTGATTTCGGAACCATATCTGAGGAGATAAGTTTCTGGTGTTGACACCCCCTGAGACTGCAGCCAACGTCGTCTTGCAACCTTGTCAACATAAAAGCTAAGGGCTGGTCTTTGCAAGTCCCGACGATAGCGAACTAGGTCGTCCCAGGTTTCATTGCCCACAATCATCTGGCCCAGATCAAAGGAGCCATACAACTGGAAGGGAGGGGTCTTCCGTTGTTTCCCTTTCAAAGAGCCGTCGTTGGTTTGTGCTAAATCGACCCCTGCTACCGGGAATTTTGAGAAGGAAACCGCCTTTGAAGGAGGCTTCTGGTTGGGTGTCACCCTCATCTCTTTTTGCCGTGATGTCCCTGGCTGTCTCTTTTTCAGTAGCATGAGACGTCTTGCTGCTTTCATAGATGAATCATTGGACCTCTTGTTCCCGTCCAAACTGATATCCGATATGATCTCCCAGTTCTCCAACGATGCCCCAGAACGGCGACCACCTCCTCCTGTCTCAACGACTTTGGCAATCTGATCCAGCAAGGAATTGCTTTCATCCGATCCTTCCAATATCATTGTAGTAACTTGAGGGATGGACCGCTGGAGCATGATCGCCACGGCGTTCCAATGCGGTAAGCGTTGGTCGCAGTAGTGACAAATCAGGGTATCGACTCGGATCATTTGTGGCTTGACAGTTTCCGTGTAGACTCCATGCAAGACCTCCTCAAGCCGACAGGGCAGCATTCGTACAGCAGGATAGACTCCCTCGGGAGTCCATGCTGGATATTCCATCCAAGGGTCAACAGCAAAGACAGACTTGGTAGCAATCCCTGCATGATATAGTCGTCTATCGAGCAGCAATGGCTCTGAGACCAACCCTTTATCCGGTACACCGAGCTCAAAAACGTGTCTGGATTGACTTTCTACAAGCCATGATCGCATGAGAGTGGTGATTTCAGGTAGCATAATGACGGCAGGATTGGATTGTTTGTCACGTAGAGTGGCATGAACATAGTCAACACACTTGGGACCGGTCATGCCCGGAATGCAGGTATTACAAGCACTGCCAACTTCACTCTGTCTCCAGCCGAATGGGCAACTCGGGTTGGCCTTTGCAATAGTTTCTAAATCAAAACGACTCTGACATTGATAAAAATCCCCCAGTGTTGCAAGTTTCCCAACGTGTCGGTTGAGTGTAAATCCTGGACTTTCCTTGTTCAAGACGGCAGCATTGTGTTGACAAAAGTTGTACTTGTGTTCCCGGGAAGGTTCCAAGGCAGGAGCATCCGTAGGAATAGCAAAGGCTATGCCCCGGTACAAATAGTGGGCATCTATGAGCTGTAGTCCATAGCTAGGCATTAGGAGTCGCAGTTTATCCAATGCCTGTGGCACACCTGTATTGCAGTTGCGTTTCTTTGACCGACAGGTATCATGAAAGCTAACTACGGCACGTTTCTGAAGGAGGGTGCTAAAGTTTTCAAAATCTCTCCAGCTTTGTTCGGCTGTGTGGTCGGCGTCAACGTGTAGATAATCAATCTGTACTCCTTCCTTTTTCAGTTTCAAGAAAGCATCATCGGTTTTTTGAAAGATGAAGCGGATATCACTGAATTGTTGTCTCATGACGGTATCCTTGTTTTCTGCGTAGAACGTCGAACCAAATCCGGCTTCTGGCAAGTGAGCATCAATGAGAATGACTTGATACTTTTTGCTACCCAAAACCCCCGCCTGTTCTAGATCCCGTTGTGCTTGTCGAAGGACTCGAGGCACAAAGCCTCCACCACTGCCCAACACAACGATCGTTGCGCTCTGGAAAGCGTAAGCAAAGCTGTAGTAGAGAAGCCCTGCACCCAAATAGTGCTGATGGTCAGCACCATGGCTCTCGGCCCAGGGAGCCTCTGCGAGTAGATTATTGTAGATGACATTACTGTTCAAGAGACCATTATTGTTGTTGTTTTCCACATTGGTGGTGCTCGTTGAGACTGGGAGTGTATGGGCGTCGCCGTCATCTGGTCGATTGGATTCAAATCCTTGGCTGTCATCAAGTTGAATCGCACTGACAGGTGAATTGTCCGCAAAAGATAATGTTAGTTGAACTTGAGGTTGGAGGAGGATCCACACGAGAAAGTTGACAAGGAGGATTAGCAGACTCAGCAGGATCATTAGCAGGCATTTTTCTCTACTGGTTGAGAGCATGCCATTTATCTCTCCCCTTCTTTTGCCCAAGCTAATACCATGGCTGGGAAGATAGTAGTAGTAACCTTTTGGTCTTCTTGCTGGAGGGGATGAGTACATCATCGTGGCTGCTACGGTAATTGATTTAGCTCAATGGAAGCGTGGGTTCGGCTGCTTCGTGGTTGTAGATTTTTCGAATTTCAAACAAAAAGTGAGGCCCCCAGAAAAAAACGTTTTTCGAAAACGTTGTGTGACATTCAGTCATGCTTTCGGTGCTTGTTTCCTCCGGACAATTACAGTATTTCTTAACACCAAAGGTGTAGTTACCTCTCGTCTGACTCCTCCCTTGGTAGGAGGAAACGGCGTCCCCAGAAAACCTATTGAACGTGGGTTCAACATTTTCTGAGAGGCAGCAAATCCAATCCATTGATCCATTATCACAACCATTATAGGTGCAACCTTCTGAGGACAATCCCCTCTCTTTCGACTTTCGAGCCAAGTACCAAACTAGTATTCTCCATCATGGCCCCGTTCAATCTGTCTCCTAACATGGAAGTGGTGGTTTCGGTGATAGCCTACTCGATCTGTTCAGGAAGTTTGGTTCTACTAAACAAACTGATACTGCACCGTTTACCCTACCCAAGCCTTGTGATTACCTTTCAGCTGTGCGCTGCGTTGGTCTTTATCTTTAGCGCCAAAGCCGGAGGTCTTTTGCAAGTGGATCCCTTGAAATGGGAGCATGTGGTACCATATCTCTACTACATTGTGGCCTTTGCGATGGGAGTTTACTGTAATATGAGATCTTTGAGTGTATCCAACGTTGAAACAGTGATTGTCTTTCGAGCTCTGGCACCCTGTTTGGTGGCATTTTTGGATGCCATTTTTCTGGGGAGAGAATACCCCTCCAAACGAAGCTGGGGTGGGATCGGATTGATCGTATGTGGAGCCTATGGATATGCCAGCTTTGACAAGGAATTCCAAACGCAAGGCGTCGCTGCATATTTTTGGCCAGTTTGCTATATGTGCATCATCTCGTTCGAAATGGTGAGTTGACTTGCGATGAAAGCGTACCAATTTTTGTCAGAGCTTAAGAGGCAGCTTTGGGCACCATCGTCGATTTGCAAAGTAAACATCGTTGTCTTGCTCACAATGAATTTCTCCTTCCCAACAACAGGCATACGGAAAGAAAATTATTCGAAGTGTGGATTTGAAAACTTTGAGTGGACCCGTCATGTACACCAATCTACTTGGAATTACGCCCATGCTTTTATTTGCGGGTATGGGTGGGGAATTCTCCAAATTCCACAACGACGTGGTTGCCAACAATGAATACACTCTCCCTAGTGGCACTGTACCCCTCATGCTCGTGGGTTGTGCAGTTGGAACTGGGATTGGATACAGCAGTTGGTGGTGCCGTGACAAAGTTTCTGCCACCAGTTTTACCATTGTTGGGGTAATGAACAAATGCTTGACAATCTTGATGAACTATATGGTCTGGGACAATCATGCCAAACCGGCGGGAATTGCGTGTCTCTTTCTCTGTTTGGTGGGCGGATCTGTTTACCAACAAGCACCCATGCGGGCCAGTACACGACACTACAAAATCGCTGCCGTGGACAGTGATGATATTTGGGGAGATGATATGTCCGTACTCGTCCGTGACGAAGAAAAGGACGAGCAGCAAGATCTTCTGAATAATCGGCAAAAGAAAGGTGGGAACCTCAACAAACCAAAACGAACGACTGACAATCGAACTCCATGAATCGAATCAGTCGAGGGCAACGTGCGCGGGGAAAGCTCAAGAGCCCATCTGCTCAGCCTTGATCGGAAGAGAGAACGGCAACAGGTCACTGCTGCTAGGGATATCCATCCTAACCAACAACATCTGGAACGCTGGCGAATCGGCTTCCTTCTTCCACATAAGCCTATCTCTCTGTAAAAGAATCCGTTTATTTGTAAGAGAATCTGTTGTATTGCTTAAAGCTATACAAACTTAGCAATGCCACCACGGTTTCCGAACCTCTCAACTGTCATCATGGACGAAGGACTCCAATGCATGCGGTAGCTGGAACCGTAGCTCCGTGAAAGACAAACTCTCCGGAGGCGCCAACCAGAACCTCAAGCGTCGATTGAGGCTGCATTGTGGAGAAAAGCGAGGTCAAAGCAATTCGAACAGGGGAATGTTTCTGAATGATACAGAAAAGCGTGATCTGATAGCCATACTGTTATTTGCTGACAAAACGATTGAATCATTCGATTGTGATTCTGCAGCAAAGAAGAACACGTGTTGACAACAGCCCTCCTGTGTCGGCTTTCCTACCGTATTCCTCGACGGGCACCAGACACTGTCACACGCATGGCTACCTGGTAGTGCACCCTAAGAGTAACTACAGGGGGTCCAAGCAAAGAGAGTAGGTGAAGGTGTACTTTATTCTGGACCGGTATCGCACATGGACCTATGACACACGATTCGTCGGCCCACACAACGAGATAGAGCAAACGGGTGAGTAGTGCTAGTTAGAGATACAGCAGCGGGGAGCAATTCACAATAGAGACGGGATTAGAAAGTTACATGAGCAAACTAACTATCTAGCTAGGTGATTCCATCGTTGAATCCATCCACAGTGGATATCGAATCGTCGTCTTCTTCAACACAGCACTCTTGAATGCCCTTTCCATTGGCCCCTGACGGGCTTGAAAGGACTGAAAACAAACATGATGAGACCACCGCTCAGAGCTCAGAGGGTTCGGTGGACTCCATTTCATAGGGAACACCACCGCCTTCAAAATCACCGTTGATCTGCACCCACGCCGCCTTGCACTTTTCGGCAACGTGCGCCATTGCCTCGTCGTGCTGGTTGTCAAGTTGACCCGAAAAGTCCGTGAACAGCTTCCAAAATGGCGATTTCGTAGCGGAGTCCATGTCGTGGAGCTTCGCATCTTCTGCCCGCTGGACTGCTTCTTCGGTCACTACCCAAGCATTCATATCCGTCTCAATGTGCAGTTCTTGGATCTCATTCTTGGTTGCCTTCCGAAAGTCCATAATCCGAGATGCCGCCACCCCCGTTTGCAATTGCGCCTTCTCGTACGCATCAAGAATATTGACCAAGACAGTCTCAAACTTTTCGAGCGTCTTCCGAATCTTCGACTCCAGCTGTGGAGGAAATGCCGCCAACGCTGACTTGAGCTCTGCAAGAGGCTGATCAAGAAGCTTCATCTCTTGCTGACCCTGATGGCGACGCGCTTCCACCTTGGCCTGAATACACGCGGACACATCCGCCAGAGAGCTGTGCTTCGTGCTGCACAATTCCGAGAAGTGTAAGACTCCGCGCAAGTCGTCGTGGAGGCGGTTCAGGGCTTCTTCCTCGGCCTTGGAATTCCATGCTTTTTCTACAAGTAGTTTGGACTCTGACAAGCTAAAATGTAACAGCAGAAAATGAATGGACAACGACAATGAGAATGACGGTGAGAGAGAGAGAAGCAGCCTCCTTCCAATAGATCTATTTTGGGACAATTCGACTGTGGGAAGACTTACAATTCTGCCACGAAAGGATGAACAGCTTGGCGAACGATGGCGTCATCGGCGATGGTGACAGCTGGATCCGCAACATCCTGAACCATATCGTCGATGTTGACCTCGGTGGGATCATTTGCTGCGACGGTGTCACCCTCATCGGAATCGGAGGAACCGCCGGCAGGCATAGGTTCATCCTCAACGCCACTATTGCCAATGCCACCTTCTTGAACATCACCACGGATCTGTTTCCACGCCGCTTGGTACAATTCTTCCACACGTGCAACTGCCTGGTCACGCAGCTCGTTCAGCTGCTGGAAGCAATGAAGTTGTGTGTCCATAAGCGGGGAATCATAGTAGTTCATGCCGTGGAGCTCCTCGATCGCATCTTTGGCTCTCTCCCAAATCTCGTCACGCTTTTGTGAAAGAACTTTATTGGCCGCCTTGAACAGATCTTCTTGGAGTTCATGCTTGGTTGCCTTGACAAGGTTCACGAGCTGAGTCGTCACTGTCAGGCGCTGTTCCGGATTCTTGTACTTCTTGTCAAGAATAAGGGCAAGGGAAATCTCAAACGTTTCTTGAGCATCAAGTAGCTTCGAGGACTCCAGAAGCTGTGGTAGGAACGCCTCCATTTCTTCCTTGAACACTTCAACCCGCGCAGCGTACTTGATGGGAAAATCTTTGCTCGCTTGTCGACGCTGATCTAGACGCTGCTCTTGCTTGGCCTCAACACACGTGTACAAATCGTCTAGGGAACAGTAGTCACTCCCACACGCCGTCAAGAAAGCCAAGGCTTCCTCCAGCTGCCCCATGTCATCGCCACTATGGATGTAAAAGAAATGAGGAAGAGAACAAATCCACACGATGAGAGGGAAGCAGTGTTCTCGATCTGTCACTCATTTCACGCGAAGTGTACTTACAGGTTGGCAACAATAGAGTCAAACACTTTGTTCATTTTCACCCCATCGGCTCCATCACAGGGTTGGTCGACCATGGCATCACCGCCCATGAAGTCTCCCATTCCGACCGTGGCATCGTCCCCGTCATTGGCAGAGCCCACTGCCTTCGCCTCCATGGCCATGGCAGGAAGAACAAGGCCCAAGGCCGCCGCGAGAATCAAAATCAATGAAATCTTCATGGTCGAGAGAAAGTTTTATTCAAAACAAAGAAAGGACTGACAAACAGCAAGCTGGGTCAGATATAATGAGAGGAAAATAAGGAGGACCCCATGCAAAGCTGCCCAAATTGAGCGCCGCCGCCGAACCCTTTGCTTTTGTAGAGTTGTGTCGAGTCTGAGAGTCCCTACCAGAATGTTCGGATGGATCTTTCGCGCGCCCAAGATTTACGATTGGGTTCCGTTTGACTCGACTCAGTGGACTAACGAAATCCAACAGCCGACAGCCGACAGCCGACAGCCGACAGCAACCACGCTTCGTCCACCATGGTGATTGACTCGTCGCGTCGACGGGTTCTCCTCATCCAATGGCCTCTCTGCAAATTGCAGTCTACCACCTGACCTGAGCTGTCTCCAAAGCAGAAGGCGGAGCCATCGTGCGCTTTGATTTGGACAAGACAACCAATCTTTCTGTCACCATGTCGTCGCGTGTCGCGTTTTCGCGTTGACTGTGTCCCTTGTTTCCAGTCAACTCCCTGCTGTTGCGCGTCTTCCTCTCTACAGTACCAGGATCTAGAGATGGAGTGATTTGAGCTGGAGAATGTCCACATCAACAACTAAGAAGACATGTCAAACAATCAGCAAATGATGGCGCAAATCGAAAAGAATTGACGGCTCGACTACACAACAACAATTCACATGGACCGACACCTGCGGACGACGGATCACGCCGTCGAGTCGGCGGCAACGATTACTGAAGCCGATAGCGATGGACTTACAAACAAAACGACGGCAGCATCAGAAGAAATGTCGACCATGATTTGTTTGTCCACCGTCTGAATCAAATCGTCGCCAATGATGAAGCTTGGCAGCGCCAGGGTGAGGCAAACCTTCTTCCAGAAGAAGATTGATCTCTTCTTACAACAAGCCGTCCAAGAAAGCCTTTGGATTCAGGAGGAGGACGTTGTTTGCCGGGTTATCTTGCTACGGAATAGGCCATGGCGAATTCGTCGAGGAGGAGAAGAAAGGGCATAGCTTTCGCTGTTCGATGGTAAGAATTTATTGATGGAACTGACTGCTTTGACTGAAGAGGATCTTGTTTCGTGTGCCGGAGAGTCGGAGAGGCTGACTGTTTACCCTCTCTTAACCTTCCCTTGCACAACAACCAGAGGACGAGCAACAAGTTCAATTTTCCATCTTCTGCTACAACAAATATCCATACCAATTGTCTGAGAATGTGGAAAAATGGTGTTGCAGCTGTGGATGCGGCCTTTGTTGATTCGATCCCACAAACCAATCCAGATGGACCGGCAGTTGACAACACACATGGCCACCAACACACATGGCCACCGACTGATTAACATGAAAGCCACTCGTCTGTCTCCACGTCAAATATTATATAATTAGCAATCTCACTTTTGCTGCATTTGATAAATTCCCCAATACTACCGGCAGCCGTTCGCTCTCCAACTTCTCCACTTGGTTCACTGATTTCAACAAAGCTAGACCAGCGCCAACAGCAGTGTAAACAACTTGGTAGGAAGTTTGGTGGCCTTGCAGCTAAACACCACACAACCATGTCGTCTTTTCTAAGTAGCTATGTTGAATCCACTATAGGTATCAAGACGAAAACTCTGCCCTCCGTCTCTACCGGTAGTGGCAACACAGAACTAATTTTATATTACTAAACAAGAAGTCACATCAACCAAGGAGGGAAGGATGACGACAGAAGACCGGACCACCAGACACCCTTTGCGCCAATTAAGGATGAATGACAGCCCGTCAATGCAAAAAGACACAACATTTCTCTCGGCTCTAATCTTGTAGTTTCTTTTCGACTCTTTGTGACAATCATGGCACCAGTATCAAAGCATCACTTTTGGTTTTGATGTGGCGTACAGTACCGATACCTGAGAAACTAGAACGGAAAGAGTCGTACCGAAGCTAGCTTCTTCTAGTACGTACGGTGCACCAGCCAAAAAAACAGATTTTCAAATCAAGGGGAGGTTATGTCTCTACGGTACAGCAATGGCTTCGACCCACTCAAATGAAGTCACAGACGTCGAGGGGAGCGCATCGGATTTCATTGGCAATTTGGTAGTGATTTTAAGCTTCATTTTGAAGCCTAAAAGTCAACAACCTTTTGGTCAATTTTGACAGCTCTAGCTAGCCTTCACCAGAGTGTCAAGAATCTTTGAGTTGGCCCTCTGCCAGTACTGGTACCGGTATAACACCATTGCCATCAAAAGGATCTAAAACCACCTTCTTGACAACACGCAAGGTTTTAGTACTATCCGGATAGTACCGTACCGTACCGTACCTTACCGTACCGCATACCGGTACCGTATTACCAATATACAACTGTAGTCACATGATCGAGGGTATGTAGAAAGGGGGAGTTGTATCGACTGGTGGGACTTACCCTATAGTCATAGTAGTGAGTTCGCCCCTACTTAGGCCTAAGTATGGTTATCCTTTATTGGGGTATGGTAATACATAAAAGTCATTGAGAGTATTTTGCCGGGGAAAACCAGGCATTTGAGGGTATCCGATACTACTCAAAATAGTACTGTGGGTTGTATCGGCAACCCCAAAATACAACTTTTCGCCTAAGTATCTTTACCAAAATACAACTTCAATCGTACCAAGAACAACCATTCACACACAAACGTTCCGGGAAACTCAAAGACTTATGTCCCGGAACCTTCTCTTAGTCCTGAGAGAGGGTAAACTGCAAAGTCGCTCTACACACTGACGTATCCCGTAGTACGGCCGACTTGGCCGTTGGACCGGATGGTTGATCAGTCAGTGGATCCTCATTCTTCACCAAATTTGCCATAAAATCGATGGAGTCAACCTGAAAAGGCGAAGCCTCGCTATTTTGTTACTCGTTACTCGCTGTTTTGTTACTCTCGCTCTTTTGTTACCGACAATGGCGAGGAAGCGCAAGTCACTCGATCAACAATACCGGCCAGCACTCACCAGGTTTATGTCTTGAAGCATGGCCGGCAGACACCATATAATACAGAGGAGCTTTACACAGGTACGTTGTTGGTTTGTTGGCTCCTTCGCTCCTTCGGCAAATCTGTCATTTCGCTGATCAAACATCATTGCTCACACCATGGTCGTCTTCTTCACTTTTTCTGTTCTCAGGACCAGCTTCTTGCCATTACACCCACTGATGTCGCCCGGTTCCTGAACTTCCTTGCATATGGGAAGACCAATCCTGGTCCCAATGATCGCCCCACCCAGAAGAGATCTACCATCTTGAACATACAAGAAGGCATCAGCCATTCCATCCGAACCGCCACTCGCCATGGGCTGTTGGTCCCAATGTTGGGAATCCACTCGCTCCACGAACGTCAATGGAGTGATCAAAGCTGTGAAGAAGGCGGAGGTCAGGAAGCAGGGAAGGAAATCCAATGTCAAGCGGATCTCAAGATTCGAGAATTCCGCAAGACAATTCGGATCCTGGAGCGTGATGGAGGTGCAACATTGACCTCACGATCAAGACTCAACCATGATGAAGGTTCAGTTCCACATGATTGGTCGACTGATGATCTGACGAACATGGAGACATTGGACTTCCGCAGCCACTCCAAGTTTCCAAACATCGCTCTCCAAACCAGGTATCCTGGAGCAAGAACGTCCAGGAGGAGCGCGATTGTCCTGACCAAATTTTGCTGGGTGCCGCTGACCCTGACTTTTGCGTCCTGATTGCCCTGGCTATTTGGATCGAGACTCGGCTTGAGAGGGGACATGGAGATCCCAAGTTTTTGTTTGGGCATTACCGTGTTGACGACGAAGAAGCATTCCTTGCGCCATCGAGGCACTGGACGATGCGGTTGCGAATGTCTGCCGGCATCCTATGCTCCAAGCCAGGTTCCATCGCAGCCCAAAGCAAGGCAGGGCCAAGTACCATCGGAAGGTTGTTGGATGGGTCGTCAGCAAAGAAGTCACATATGGAAGGACAGACATGCTCGCCAATGAACCCATGATCACACCGCTGTCAATCTTGATCGAGTACTTACGGGCGCTCCAACAGCAAGAGTTCCCGCAACCTTGGCTACGGTCGGCAACTGTTCCAGTCAATGTAGACATGGACAATATGGCCATTCTCTCGCCCTTCACGAGCCTCATTCTCGGCTTGGTGATGCCACACTCGGCTGATAGGTTGGAGGCAGCTTCCGAAGACTGTGGGTACCAGGCTACCACTGCACTTGCTTGGCCAGCTCCACGAACTCCGGGTCTTTCCCAGCCTTCTTCAAGACGCGTTTGTACCAGGCGTTGACTCGATCGGCTCCGTCTCAATGTTGTCTCGTCGAGCTCTTCATCGTT